GGTCTTTTGTGGTTCCATACAAATTTTTGGATAGTTTGTTCTAGTTTTGAGAAGTATGCTGGTGCAATTTTGATTGGAATTGCATTGAATGTGTAGAGTGCTTTAGGTAGTAATGACATCTTAACTATATTTATTCTTCCTATCCATGAGCATGGAATGTTTGGAAAATCTTAAGTAAAGGTGTTTTTGTAATGGGAAACTCTGTGGACCAAGAGAGAACCCTTACCTGGCCTCTGGGCCCTGCTCTGCCCAGCCAGAGCATAGCACCTCTCTAGGCCTCCCTTTCTGCCCTCTTTGGCAAAACAAAGGACTGAAAGTGGATCTCCAGTACCTGGTCCCATGTTTTCTTCTTGGCCCAGGCTGAGTCAGAGGTTAAGCAGGCTCTGGTATGCCAAGGACCCTACAGCAGGCTCTCTTGGGACGGGCATGGAGGAGGGCACTTGTGGGGATGAGCACTGGGTGTTGTATGGTAGACAATATGACAATAAACTATATTAATACTCAATCAATAAAAAATCAGTCAATAAATAAAAACTAAAAAAAATTTAAATTTATGTCATTTAGTTGAGTTTTAAAAAACATAAGATCTGGTGCCTTCAAATACACTGTGGATTTGCTGGGGGGGGAGGGAATGAAAGAAACCATATTCTAATAAGACTGGAAGGAATCCAAGTGGACCTAACACCCTCCTCAAATACTAGAAGAGTTTGCCTCATACTGGCCAAGAGGATGGGATCAAACTGGAACAGATAAAAGCTACAGAGAAACACTGACTTCAAGTATTTACCCCTGAACCTGATGTGTTTTGTGATAAATAATGGTTTCTATAAGTAAGTAGAAAATAAAGACACTTGGGGCACCTGGGTGGCTCAGTCAATTAAGTGTCTGAGATTCAGCCTAGGTCATGATCTCATGGTTGTGAGTTCAAGCCCCGCGTCGGGCTCTGTGCTGACAGCTCGGAGCCTGGAGCTGCTTCGGATCCTGTGTCTCCCTCTCTCTCTCTGCTCCTTCCCTGCTCGTGCTCTGTCTCTCTCTGTCTCTCAAAAATAAATAAATGTGGGGTGTCTCAGTGGCTCAGTCGGTTAAGCGTCCCACTTCAGCTCAAGTCATGATCTCGCAGTTTGTGGGTTTGAGCCCCGCGTCGGGCTCTGTGCTGACAGCTCGGAGCCTGGAGCTGCTTCGGATCCTGTGTCTCCCTCTCTCTCTCTGCTCCTTCCCTGCTCGTGCTCTGTCTCTCTCTGTCTCTCAAAAATAAATAAATGTGGGGTGTCTCAGTGGCTCAGTCGGTTAAGCGTCCCACTTCAGCTCAAGTCATGATCTCGCAGTTTGTGGGTTTGAGCCCCGTGTCAGGCTGTGTGCTGACAGCTCTGAGCCTGCTTCAGATTCTGTGTCTCCCCCTCTCTGTCTCTCCCCTGCTCGAGCTCTGTCTCCCTCTCAGAAATAAACATTTAAAAAAAGAAAGACAGAAAAGAAAGACACTTGAAGATGAAATTCAAAAGCAAGCAGAATTGCAGGGTCATTAAGCTGACACAAATTTGTCTCCATTACCATCCCTACCCAAAATCAAGGGTACACCATACAATTTTCCTAGGCATTGTTGATTAAGAGCACCACATATCAAATATAAGCATGCAACAATTTTTTTTAATATAAACCAAAAGGTCTTCACTTACCCAAAGGAGGCGGAATCACAGTAAGATTCACAGTTACAGACTTATGGGCATTCAGCCCCTTCATGGTGGCCACACAGGTCAAAGTCCCGTTGCCCTGTGGTGTGAGAGTTAGGACGCTCACTGCACTTTGGAGGTCGTCGGGCTCCAGAACGGAATAATAGCTTGAGTGGCTCACGGAAACACCGATCTCCCAGGAAATACCTGGGAGTGGGATCCAGCCCCGTGCGTGGCAAGTCACATTGCAAGGTTTATCCTCGATGGCTACAAGGTCATCTCCGGGAATGAGCAACTCCCCCATAACTAAAGAAGAAAAGAGAAATGCTCCAAAGGGGTGATTTGAAACTCTTTTGGTTTCAAGTTGTCTTTAATTTTCTCTTCAAATCACATTTTCATGAGAGATTATCTTCCCAAGGCCAAATTGGCTGTGTCTGTATCAAGAACATTAACTCAGGTTTGACCTATGTCTTTATTTACACCTGCCAGGTTCATGGAAGAAGGGGGAGACTTCTCGCCAGAGAACATATAATTCCAGAGAAAATGAATAAATAAAAATCAGGATCCAGGAGAATATAAATTCTGTGGGAAGGAGAGGGCAAATGTGCCTTCCAGGGTAGGCTACACAATCACTTAAGTAGAGTTACAAAGTTGTCCTGGGCTCTCCTGGGAGTGAAAGCAAAAAGGGACAAACTTTTACATTCTTTCCATTGTCAGGAGAACACCTCTCAGAGTCATGGGAGGCAAGTCTCTCCTGGCCTTTGGTCAGTCAGATTCATTTCATTTATTTTGGGGGGGGGTCACAGATTTTTAAACATAACTTCCTATGGTATTTCCTTAAAATGTTTTTCCAATTGCAAATGAATTCAAAATCAAATAGAAGATAATTATAAAAATAATTATCCAAAATTATGTACCAGAATATAATACTCAGATAAATTAAAAACCTAATGGTTTTTATGAAGGACCGACCTGCATATGTCAGTGTTCACACTATTAACAACCTATATGAAAATAGGACTCGTGTGTGCTAATATTAATAAAATAACCTGAGGACTGGCTCCAGTAAAGACACGGCCTTGGTGAAACACCCAAACATCCAAATTAAAATATCCTTCCTGATGTATAATATAATGGGAAGAACACTAGACTAAGAATCAAAAATGCAGTTCTCAGGGCGCCTGGGTGGCTCAGTCAGTTAAGCAGACAACTTTGGCCAGGTCATGATCTCAAGGTTCATGAGCTTGAGCCCTGCCTTGGACTCCATGCTGCCAGCCCAGAGCCTGAAACCTGCTTTAGATTCTGTGTCTCCCTCTCCCTCTCTCTGCCCCTCCCTTGCTTGCACTCTCTCTCTCAAAATAAATAAACAAATATTGTTTTTTAAAACCCTCAGTTCTCAGTCCTGGATTTCTTATAAAATTGCCATCACCTGGGACAGGTCACTCTCTGTTTTTTGTTTTTTGTTTTTTTAATATTTTTTTAAATTTATTTCTAGGAGAGAGAGAGAGAGATAGTGTGAGCAGGGGAGGGTCAGAGAGAGAGGGAGTCACAGACTGAAACAGGCTCCAGGCTCTGAGCTGGCAGTCAGCACAGAGCCCGACGCGGGGCTCGAACCCACGAACCGCGAGATCATGACCTAAGCGAAAGTCAGACGCTTAACCGACTAAGCGACTAAGCCACCCAGGCGCCCCTGTTTTTTAAAGGTCAAATGAAACAATTTGACTAGATCAATGGTTTTCAAATGTTTTTGCTTCAGTCCCTTTAACACTCTTAAAAATCTCTGAGGACTCCAAAGACCTTTACTTATGTTCTGTCAATATTTACTACACTTGAGGGGCACCTGGGTGGCTCAGTTGGTTAAGCATCTGACTCTTGATTTTGGCTCAGGTCATGATCTCATGGTTCCTAAGTTTGAGGCCAGCATCAGGCTGTACACTGACAGCATGGGGCCTGCTTGGGATTCTCTTTCTCTCCCTCTCTCCCTGCCCCTCCCCTGCTAGCACACTGACTCTCTCTCTCTCTCTCTCAAAATAAATAAATAAACTTTAAAAAATATTTACCATACTTAAAATTAGAATTAAATATTTATTTTTAAATATTTATTTTAAAATAACAGTGATAAGTCACTACATGTTACCACAGATTATACCATATTGTTATGAAAAATACCTATATTTTTAACCCAACATAAATTATTGAGAAGAACATCATTGTTTTAGATTTATGCAAATCTCATTTACCTCTGACTGGATTCTCATATCTGCTTCTGCATTCAAGCTGTTGGTATATATTCAATAAATTGCTTTACTGGAGTATATTTTTAAATCTGACCTCACATAGGGGCGCCTGGGTGGCTCAGTCGGTTAAGCATCCAACCTTGGCTCATGATCTCACAGTTTGTGAGTCCAAACCCTGCGTCAGGCTCTGTGCTGAGAGCTCGGAGCTCGGAGCCTGCTTTCAATTCTGTGTCTCCCTCTTTCTGCCCCTCCCCCATTCACTCTGTCTCTCAAAAATGAATAACATTTTTTTTAATTTTTAATAAATAAATAAATCTGACATCCTATGGGTATATAGGTGAAACAATGAGAAGTCTTTTCGTATATTCCTTGATGCTGTAACCAACATTTGGCAAGCAGCAGTTTCTTACAGGGTAGCTGCGCTGTGAAAACTGAAACTATATTAAAAGAACTTTCATTCTCTTTGACATTAAAACCCGTTTCTCTCTCTGGCACTTTAATTGACCTTTCACTTTTGCATGACTTTGTATCATTATACATCAGTTATTTGGGAAATGCCGGTCAGCTGAATTATGCAGACCTTCCAAAGGATCATGGAAGGCATCCTGGGCGCAAGTGAAATGAGCGTAGGAAAGGCAACTCACATCTTAGTATTATTACGGAAGCAGTCATGACCTCACAGACCCTGAAAGTTCTAGGGGATGCCCAACGGTTCCCAAACTAGATGAAACTGGATCAGCTCTGAAAGCCCTTTTTACTCTAAAACATTTAATTTCCAGTCATTCCTTTCCTCAATAGTCTCTTGGGAGTGAGTGAAGCATGTTTGCTAACGCAGGGATTTCCCTAAATGCAACAACGAGAGGGAAATGGGTTTGTTCCTTAAGCCTAAAGGGTTTTGTGCTTATTCCTTTTTCTCCGCTCATTGTTTCATTTGGTGGAGAGGTTTAAGACAGAAACTGGAAGGAGCAGTACTGCCTCAATTAATAACGGACGATCTTGAACTCAGGCCTACTGGCCCTCAAAACACAAGAGGTATAGAATTTGGTGTGTGATTCAATGGGTAGACTAGACAATGGATGGACAAATGAAGCAAGCTGAAGCATTGCCTTTTTCTATGCATATTTGTGATTCAACTTTTCCCATTGGCTTTCACAAAACTTACCTAGTAGCACCATGAACACTCTATATACAAAGGTAATGACTGTAACACTCACATAGATCAGGGATGACTCAGGATGGAGTGATGTAAGCTCTCTTTTTCTTGCTATACATGAGGTGGAATAAAATAAATCTTTGAATAATCCACTTTAAATTAAAATGGATATTTCTTCTTTTTTCAGGATTCTTTCCCCTTGAAAGAGATCCTGTTGCTTAAGATTTTTTTCTCTAGGAACAAAGTGCCATTCAAACTACTGGAACCCAGGTAATGTGACCAAGTTCAGTCCCCGGTCTATGGGTTCTTTCTGTACAACCTTGGGAAAGAATTTATCATCCCTAGATGCTTATTCTTCCGTCTGGTTTAAGTTATTTAATGGGGTCATTAAGTAACAGCCAAGGTCACACAGTTTGCAAGCCTAGCATGCGGGCTCCCACACCTGCATTATGAACCACTAGACCACACTGGCTCCCAACTCCATGTGCAATAAATTAAATCAGACAGGACTTTGGAGTCTTCAAGCCATCCCAGTCACTGTTTCATCTGATCCTCACAGTAAACCTGTGAGATGGGGCAGGGGAGCCTTATCTTCCTTTTAAAGATGAAGAGGTTGAGGGGCGCCTGGGTGGCTCAGTCGGTTGGGCGTCCGACTTTCGCTTAGGTCATGATCTCGCGGTTCGTGGGTTAGAGCCCCGCGTCGGGCTCTGTGCTGACTGCCAGCTCAGAGCCTGGAGCCTGTTTCACTCTGTGACTCCCTCTCTCTCTGACCCTCCCCTGCTCACGCTGTCTCTCTCTCTCCTAGAAATAAATAAAAAATTAAAAAAAAAAAAAAAAAAAGATGAAGAGGTTGGGGGCGCCTGGGTGGCTCAGTCGGTTAAGCATCCGACTTCAGCTCAGTTCATAATCTCTCAGTTTGTGGGTTTGGCTCCGCGTCGGGTTCTGCGCTGACAGCTCAGAGCCTGGAGCCTGCTTTGGATTCTGTGTCTCCCTCTCTGCCTGTCCCCCACTCATGCTCTGTCTCTCTGTCTCAAAAAATAAATAAACTATTAAAAATTAAAAAAAAAAACACAAAGATGAAGATGTCGAGCCACCTCAGGAGTCACCAAGTTGGTAACGGGTGAAAGTGAAATCAGAACTCATATCTTTGATTCCATTTTTCCTGTGTTCTTTCCCTTATGCCACAAATTATCATGGTAAGAATCCGGTCATGCAAGCTAAACCAATAATCCAAGTAGTCTCATAAAAATCACGATTTTGAAAATATCATTAAACCTTATAAAATTAAAGACACATAAAAGTACAGAGACAACATTTTGGCTAAGTAAAAAAAAAAATAAAAAGCCAGTAGAAATAGGTAGACGTGTATTCCTTTCAAATGTTATCAAGCTGGATTTGATGTTGGGGCGCCTGGGTGGCTTAGTCTGTTAAGCGTCCGACTTTCACTTGGGTCATGATCTCGTGGTTCGTGGGCTCAAGCCCCGCGTCGGGCTCTGTGCTGACTGCCAGCTCAGAGCCTGGAGCCTGTTTCAGTCTGTGACTCCCTCTCTCTCTGGCCCTCCCCTGCTCACACTGTCTCTCTCTCTCTCCTAGAAATAAATAAACATTAAAAAAAAAATAAAAAAAAAACTGGATTTGATGCAACATTTACACAGATGAAATGTTTGGAAATTTCTCCTAGACAAGCAAATAAAGAGACATAAGAAAAGATTTCAAAATATGATGCGGTTTTCTTAAGAAACGCTGCCACAAAAATGAGGAGCTCAACTAGTTTCAATGCATCTATAAATACAGTATAACCACATTTTAAGAATTGCAACATGATTAAACTGATAAAGATGTTCTGAATTCTTGCAAAGAATTTCTTTTATTTATTTATTTTTTACTACATAGCATGATTTGGAGCACCTCAAAATTACTTCTAAAAATGAAAAATAAATTATCCATTCTGATAAATTTTGCATACTCTTTTCTCTAAAACACTTGGTATTTAGTGAACACACACCTTTGACTCCAAAAACCGCTGGGGGCAGGAAAGAGTGAAAAATTGGGAGAATTCAGCCAGAAAGAGGAAAAGAGTAAAGCATGATTCAAAGTGCATACATGACATAAGGCAAAGAAACAGCAGCAAGCATATAAAACACTAGAAAAAAGGCAAAGATCGGCAACTATTCCTAAATCAAAGAGCAGTAGCCACAACTGGCCGCAGGAGACTTTGGGTCTATGTCCACAAAAGCTATCAGTACTGAAATGGATCCAACAGCAAAGTGATAAGACCTGTCTTTAAGAGTCTTCATGAGAGAAAGGGGAAAGGAGAGGAGAGACGGAGGGAAACAGAAAAAAGGGAAGAAAGAGATTCAGTGAGGAAGGGAAGTAAGAGACAATAAATAGCAAAACAATAGGTATTTGTTGGCTCAGAGTACTTCTATGCGTAGCACTCTGATAGCAGACCCGTGATGCAGGGAAGGTCCCCAAAAGCCCCTGGTGTCTGGCCAGCAGACCCCACCTGCTCCCCTCGGAGCCACCTGCACACCCACCTTGCACCGAAAGGAAAGCAGATGCATCACGGTCACTGTTCTGGAGGCTGCACTTGATGTGCCCTGCATCACGGAGCTGCACGTCATGGATTATCATCTCAGAGATGAAGTTGCCGCCCTCTTCGTAGCTCGCAGAGGTAAAGCGGTCGTTGGTGATGATGGGCTCCGAGGGCGTGATGCTCAGAACAACTGTGCCATTCAGAGCCCACATGATGAGCTTCCAGCCCTGCGAGACGGAGCAGTTAAAGCGAGCCTCTGAGCCCTCCAGCACTGTTGCATTCTTGGGACCTTCTAGGATTTGATAGCTGGATCCAGAAGCTGGAAAGCAACCAGTTTTTCAAGGCGATAAGTGAACAAATCTATGTAAGTCAAAGGTAGAGTTTAACCCTTCTGTATTTCCCAGCCGAGACCTTGGGATGGTCAGTGGCTGGGACTCCGTGTCTTCCTGATCCTAACACCATGTGTCCCCAGTGGACAGGAAGCCACCCAGCCCTCCTTTCCATCCTTTCCCTCCACAGCTCAGAGCACTCCTAGCAAAATTGACCCTCTCCCTCCAGAGAGATGTTACCTTGCATACCTGATTCTTGGCCTGCCCCAAGAGCTCCCGGCTCTATTATTTAAGGCATGTTTTTCACCTTCCCCATGAAATGAGAGTTATCCTCCAAGTAAATTAGGAAGGATCTTTGATTTCCACCTCTGTGTAAATCCCAGGGCTCAGAGGGGAAGGTGGAAAGCAGTTTGTCTTCACAAAGAAAATGGGGACCCCCACATACTGGGATCACAGCCCAGCACATGCCCCTGCACCCTCAGGGCCCCCAAATGGGGCTATTAGGACAGTGTCTGGGGCTGGAGGATAAACAATGTTGAGAGAGAAGGAATACAGCTGGAGAGAGACAAAAGTTGCCTCCTGAGTACACAGTCATGGAGTGATAGGTAAGTCAGCTGCCAAGTATCAAAAGAACTGTACTCTTAAGGACCAGAAGAGATATGGGTGGGGAGACAGGTAGACGGATAGGGGAGTGGGCTCCCATAATAATGAAAACAATCAAGAATGCATCTGTCAGCCCGGTAAAAATCTCACCATATCTAGTGTTGGGTTTAACACTCCACCAGATAGGCAGGTGGCTCAAAAGCACAAGACCACAGACTGTCAGGTGGGGCTCCTGGCTCATGAGGCAAATTATCTCAACCTCTCCATGCCCCACCCCCCTCAGCTGCAAAACAAGGACACTAGTGCCACAGCGGCTTGTTTCAAAAACCAAATATGACAATCTATGTAAAGCCTTTAACGTGACCCTCAAGCACTCGGTAAACATTCATGAGCACATGACCTGCAAGAAGGAATGTGTTGATTTTGTAAGACAAGCCAAAGTGGTGTAGATTTAAGTAGAATCGTTTCTTTCACATTTTCTACAACATTCAACCCTTACTTAGCTCCACAGACACACCGTGACGCCAGTTTTAACTGGAGCAACAACTTCTTTTTCTTTTTTAAATTTATGTATTTATTTTGAGAGAGGGAGAGAGAGTGAATGCGAGTGGGGGAGGGGCAGAGAGAGAAGGAGAGAGAGGATCCCAAGCAGGCTCCGTGCTATCAGTGCAGAGCCCGATGTGGGGCTCGATCTCATGAACCTTGAGATCATGACCTGAACCAAAATCAAGAGTCGGATGCTTAACCGAGCCACCCCAGCACCCATGTGGAGACAACTTCTAACTGGGTTTCCATGTGGTGGACAGCGAGGGCTCTCCCGGTCACATGAACAGAAGGTCATGATCACTGGAGATGGAGCATGCTTGGCGCTGGAAGAACTCAAGAAAAATCCTGTGTCCGTTTAGGACTGATGTTCTAATCATCTTAGAGGAGCCGATTGGCAGCGAGAGTTTTTAAGAGCTTCCCATGTCTGTAATAGTAGTTCAATATAGAATTTTCAAGGCAGAGGGTCATCTTCCAAATCTCTCATGCCCCTCTTTTCAATACTGGTTGTTTGTTTGTTTGTTTGTTTGCTTTTAATGAAGAAATGAAGAGCAGCAATACCCCAGGACTTGCCATCACGGTGATGAGCTGGGACCCACACTCCCACCTTCCCACTTTTGCCCACTCTTTCCCCTCTGATCTCAGAGTTTACAGCAAAGAGCAGATCACCCCCTACGCTTTCTCCTCAGTCCTGCCTGTCACATCAGTAAGACTGCAGTGGGTTCCTCTTACCTTCTGCAGCTTTAGGATTCCTGTGGGTCCGCCAGGCAGCCTGCCATATTACTGAGTGTCCCCAAACCATTGCAGCCGCCTCCCCTTCCAACCTCATATGGTCAGGTTGTGAGACGGGACACGGCGGACACGCATTAATACATCAACACGTCGCCTGAGTACCCAGAATGCACGGTCTGCTGCAGGGACGGGTTAATGAGAGAGCAAGAGCTATTGCACAGGTAGTGCCCCAGAGGCAAGCAGCCAGGGTCAAGGTCAAGAAAGGGGTCCTGCAAAGAGACCTGCAGGCTCCAAAGGGGCAGAACTGAGGGAAGGTCAGAATTAACTAAGACTATTCCTGTGTTCGGATAAACATGACTGTTATCCTTTCTTTTGTCACTGGGCATGGTGGGAAAAGAGAGAAAGTGGGACTTTCAAAAACAACTCCTATCGGGCACCCTCCCTTATCCCTGGGCAGGCCTCTCGAATCCAAGGATCCCTTTCATCTGGGATTTTAGAAAAAGAAAAAAGCCTGAGGAAGAAAAGTCAAAAATGATTCCTCAGGGAAATCCACAGCCTCTGTGCAGACTCGGCTCTTTCCACGAGCCCTGAACTGCATCTTCAGAAGAAGGACAAAAGAAAGGAAATAGCCAAATCTACACCTGAAGAAAGAGACGAGCTGTCCACACTCCACAGCGAGGTAACAGCACTCTCCTCCCACTCCTGACGCAGATTGGTGGGAGTTACGTGGACGGAGCCCAGTGGCTCCGGTGTGGGGAGTGCCAGGGTGGCTGAGACCCAGGCCTGCCCTGCCAGGAGCTGCATCTAAGTGACTCCCACAGAGCACGTAGGCCTGTCTGGAACCATGGCTCCCTCACTACCTGGCTCGAGGTAGAGAGATTATTTCCCTCTGGAACACTCTTTGCTCCGAGCCAGCAGACGGCACCTATGACCAAGAATACGTGCGCGCCACACACCTTACTTTGCAGGCGGGAAGTGAGAGGGAGGAAGGCCAAATGGAAACTCTCTGGGTTTGAACCTGACCTCTATCTAAATTAAACAGGAGGCACCAAATCGTCAGCACTACATTCCCCGGACAGCGCCGTCCCCCGCCGTCTTGGCTACCACCATAGGTAAACTCGCCTTCAGCCTTCCCTCCTGACGCAGAAGCTGGACCCCGATAATGGGAGGTCTCCTTCCCCTCCCTGACGCCTATGAGTCATGGGGTGTGTACCCCTGCCCCGCACAGAACAAATACCAGACAATTGTCAATAAGGCTTTTCACCAAACATAAAACCTCACCTTCCTTCTGCTCCCCTTTCACCCTGTAGAGAGAACAGGCAAATCTGGGGCAGAGCCACAGAAAGATCGGTGTCCGCCCCGCCTCCCAGACACTCCCCGTGGGCCACCAGCTGTGGGAGTTTATCCATTTGCCAGTTTCTTACTCACACTCACGGTCTCCAATTCCCACTTCCACACCTGCGGCCCCCACCCCGCTTCCTCTCCTGGCCAGGATCCTGCTCCACGAGGTACCTCCACGAACGACTGACTGGCTCTCGGCCAGGACTGAACAACATCTCTTCCACTCACTGCATCTTCCTGGCTGCAAAATGGAAATCTCTCCGACAGTAGCACTTCCGTCTCCTATCGGCCATCCGTAAACGGACCCCAAACATGGATCTCACCAGCCTCCTGCGAAGGTTTTTCCTCCGCTCCCTGAGCAGCAGCTGGTTGTCTCCCTGGCAGGGGGTCAGACCCCTCTCTTCTTCCACTGGCCTCCGGCCTCCCTCCCTGCACCTGCAGACCCCTCGCCTTCCTCTCTTACTTCACACTGGAAGGGAACAGTGAGGTAGATGATTGAAATCATGAGGAAGAAAGGTAAATGCAGGGGACAAATGCTTTGGTGAAGCAGCTCTGAGAAAATGGGAGTCGGATCACATCAGGAGTCAGGACAGGCAGAAGGGACTTGAGAAGTGAGGGAAGGGTCCTGATGATGGCAGGGAGCTCGAGTGTCACCGCTGTGTGACCACCACCCAGAACTGCTGTCCACACGGCAGCCAGCAGGATCTTCTCCACACACCAGTGTGATCAGACATCCCTAGTGCCCACCTCCACACTCAGACTTTGTTTATTTTATACATTTGCATTTTGGATAAAGACCAGAGAACTCTTAACATTATCCTATCTTAAGACTCTACTTAGTCTCCCATCAACTTCCTCTTGCCCCAAACTCTACCTTCCAGCCGCCAGACTATACTAATTTATCACCCTCACCAACTCTTTCTGGCCCCAGGGCCTTTGCACTGGCAGCAATCAGCCTGGCATGCCAGTCTTGGCTTTCAAATCGTTGAAGCAATTGTCACAATGGCGATTTTATGTTGATTTTTCTGCCAGTAAGTGCCTGATTCCCCTGCTAGTCTCTAAGCGCTTTGTTAGCAGGGCCTAGGCTTGGTTTTGCTCATCACCACCTCCCCGTGTCTGTGACTAAATGGCACGTAACAGGTCCTCAGTGAATATTCACTGAGCAAATTAAATAAGGGTGTGAGTTCTAAATAATCCATTACTCTGGGGCAAGGTGGAGAGGAGAGTGCGCATGGAGATTGTTGTCAGCAAGACTTTCCAAAACGAAGTATCCAAGGTACTCAGTCTTTAGCGATGGACCCCAGCTCCCAGGGGGTACTCGAGTGAGCCCATAACACTCTCCCCCCCAGAACAGCCATCTCCAGGCCTCCACCAAAGCCTCCCCTTCATTCCAAACACAACTTTAGGGAAAATGTCCCGGAAAAACCACAGACCCCACAGCACATCAGTTTTCTGCTAAACTTCTGGAAGAGATTTTTGCAACCATGGCTGAAATAGCCACGTTGGAGCCTTATCCTTACAATGTGTGCTGGGCGTGGTTTGCCAGCCCCTCGACGAGCCCTCAGGCTCCACACAACAGGGGTGGTGATTTTGCTCTCCACTCCGCAAACCCGGGCTTATCAAGCACCTACATAACACCTCACACAGCACACTGTAAGCAAGGGTTTCGGAACACCTTTGCCCTCAAACACCTGTTGACACACCGCCTGGTCCCCTGGGCTGACTGTCTCAACATACCCCAAACCAAAACTTACAAAACCATCCTTGTTGCCTGTACCACCTTTGAGAGTTCCTATACTATTTTACCTCTTTTTAGTTTTTCAATAAATATTGAATATTGGGGGAGGGGTATCAGAGTGACCAAAAGGGGGAATTCATGGAAGGTGCTTGGTCTCACTGTTAAAATACACGAAGGTGTTCAGTTTGTGAAAATTCATCAAGCTGTACCTTTATGACTTGTGCGCTTTTCTACACATTCATTATTGTTCGGTACAATGCCTTAAAACCACTGCATAAGAAATACAAGATGGATACCCTCTGGAGTTTAAAACCTAGTCAGGAAAACAACACAAACACACCTGAAGCAAAGAAATGTAGGCAAGACACAATCAAGAGAAAGCTGGGGTACCAACTCCAGTCACCCAAAGCACCCTGACATCTGCAAACTCCATCTCTTGCGAAGCAGAATGTGATAGGGACCCCCCGGCCTGAGACCCCCTGGAGTCCCTCCCGACTGACACCCTGGGTGTGATCCAGGACCAGGAGAAGCTGATGAGAGAAATGGCAAACTTCACATGCAGTGGGCCCTTCCCCTGTCAGTAAATGGGAGCTGGGATTATCACCCTGAAAGTGGCAAGGTCAGCAGGGCTTCAGGGAGGAGGTGATGTCTGAATTGGGCCTTTCTTGAAGGCCAGATAGAAATGGAAGAAGATAGGGGTGCCTGGGTGGCTCAGTCGGTTGAGTGACCGACTTTGGCTCACGTCACAGTCTCACGGTTCGTGGGTTCCGGCCCCGTGTCGGGCTCTGTGCTGACAGCCTGCTCAGAGCCTGGAGCCTGCTTTGGATTCTGTGCCTCCTCCTCTCTCTGCCCCTCTCCCATTGGTGCTCTGTCTCTCTCTGTCTCTCAATAATAAATAAATGTTTAAAAAAATTCTTTTTAAAGAAAGGAATAGAAGAAGAGAAAACCAGGCAGAGCACGGGACATTTCAACGGGAGCAGTGACTTATGGGGAAGCATGGAAGGCAAACGCCCACAGCAGAGATGACCCCACGAAAGGACCGGTAAGTCAGAGCACTAGCTCAGTCAAGTGAGCAGGAAGCGCACCCAGGGAAGGAGACCCCGCTGTGGAAAGAGGAGGCAGCTAGAAGGGCCCAAGGAAGACGTTGTGGCAGCCACGTATCCAGGCAACTCCCTCTGGGTTCCCTTCCTCCAGCGGATGCCCAGGAATGTCCCACCAGCCTCAGGAGACCCCTACCTGCCAGCCCAGCCAAGATGACCAGCACGGTCGAGATGCCCGTCCACCTGCCCTCCATCGCCACGCGTCTTCTTCACCCTGGGAAAACAGAGCAGCCACGTAACCTTCTGCCACAGATGAGCGTTTGCCGGCCGGAGTACGCGGAGCGCCTACCAGCTTGTGGGCGTCTGCGGGTGGGTGGTCGGCGGCACCAGCCTCACCCAAACCTGCTGGATCAGAAACTCCAGGGACGAGCCCACAAATCTGTCTAAATGATTAAACAGTGAACCAATCCTGGCCTGTGCTCAAGTCGGAGAATCACTGCATTCAACGACCTTACTCCACAGCCCAGGGCTAAATTATGGAAGCCGGTATAGCATTACTGCTGAATGACTCACCAGGATGTAGGGGCGAGGGCTTACTGCGTTTCATTTCAATCATGAGGTTTTAATCACTGAAGGGGAAAAAAATCCTCCCCGCAACAACTTTACGTTATCAAAAGGGAAAACAGGTGAAATAGAACATAATCTTATCAGAAGCTGCCAAAAGGTATGGAGAGACATAGAACAGGGAGATGTATGCAAGGGGTTGCATGCGTGCGTGGGGTGGCTGGCTATAATTACAAAAAGAGAAGTCACAGAAAGTATCCCGAAAAAGTGCTCTGTGAACAGTGAAGGAGGTGAGGTGACAGCCACGTGGATATCTGCAGAGGGGCTTTTCAGGCACAGGGGCAGCAGGTGCAGAGGCCCTGGGGTGGGACTGTGCCTGGCATGTTTGAGCGGGCTCTGGGGATGGGGCAGAATCAGGGGTGAGGGAGGAGGGAGAGGTCAGAGCTAGGGAAGGTCAGGGAAGATTGAGCCCGAGGCAGCTCACAGGGAACCTGTCATGTACTCTCCTTGTCCCTTCCTAACCCTTTGTTCTTGGCTAAACCTCTTGCTCATCCTCCATCCCTGCATGTTCTCTTTTTATTTTTTTTTTCCGTCTCCCCTGCGGTATGCCCATGCAACGCAGTCACCAGCACCGTGTGGCCCCACTGGGACATGTAAGGTAAATCACCCACTGAACGTTATCAGGAACTGTCCGCAAAAACAATGGCCCCTGGTCTCAGCAAAGGGTCTCTTTCTTTCAGTCTTCAACACCACCACCGTGTGGAGCAAAGCCCCTTAACCAAAGGATGGTTTTCACTTTGGCTTTGGGGCCCACACAGATGTCACAGCCCCATCAACTGGGGGGACAGGGGAGACCCACCCCATCCCTCTAAAAGATGAGGCACCGAGTTTCATCAGAGAACCCTCCCCCCACGACTGTGGGATTCTATAATGAACTGACACCTGTCCAGGGCTCCCGTCCCCTTTCTTCTCGTGAACCCCAAAGAGGTCAGCCCCACGGCAACACACAGGCACACACAAGAAACCCCCACACCTCAAGTCTCCAGAACCCAGATCATACAGGTGCTAGACAAAACTGAGCACTGGTGTGGAGCACTGTCAAGAGACTCAAGCCTGTGGACCCATGATCCTGGGTATTTAGGGCTCACGGAGAAGGAACAGGAAACATTGTTTCTCTGACACGTTGGGAGAGCAAAACTCAGCCTGTGTGCTAAATTGCAAGCACTTGCATGCACGGCGCAAGGTTCAAAGTCTCTGCTGCAGCCCCGCGCGGTTGTGGGACCCCCGGCTCCTCCGTGGGGTCTAAAACACCCCGCAGAGCCCCACAAATACACGTGGGCAGCAAGCTGTGCAGCAGCCACACCCAAGCTGGACTGAAACCACAACCTTCCCAAACTGTTTCCAGATCCTGAGTTATGAAGGGCCAAACAAATCATTTACTAACTTGCTAGGTTCGATGCACAGCCCAGTCTGTCGCTGGGCCAGCCGTCTAGAATGCTACAGCCCAGCTGAGGATGAAGGAGACGCTGGGCCGCCGCCTCGGGAAGATTACGCATTTCACCGAAGGCGTAAATGCCAGGTGTGGACCCAGCACTTACTGAAACTAAAGCTCAAGTTTAAGGTCCATTGGGAAATCCTGACAGCCCGGCTGAGTCAGGCCACAGACCCGGCCCAGAGAGCTGTGTTGTCTGAAGGCTCTGTTCCGCTTCCGTTCCTCACACGTCATTCTGGCTTACTCTCCGTAGGAGAGGTGGCTGATTCCCCAGAGCCCCGCAGAACACCCGGAGCGGGCAGGGCAGAGCACCCAGGGAGCTCCAGGGAGCCCCGGGGCAGGGTCACTGCAGATGTGGATTTGTGTGGGGCTGGTATTTGAAGAGTGTGTGCAGACGGAGCTGTCACTTTGCTTTAATTAAATGAAGACCTATTGCCAGGTAATTTGCAAGTTAATATCTCTGTGGGATAGTTTGATCCCAGAGATTTCACTTCCCATTCATTTTGTTATGGGAGACTTGAAGTAGCCACTTCTAGTTGAAAACCTGCAAAGTCTTCTTAAAATTTTAAGCCTTATCAGATTGTAGTAAACACAGGATGCCTGGCTGGCTGAGTCAGTTGAGCAACTGACTTCGGCTCAGGCCATGATCTCACAGGCTCATGGGTTCCAGGCCCCCGTTACACTCTGTGCTGACAGAGCAGAGTCTGCTTGGGATTCTCTCTCTGTCTCTCTCTCTGCCCCTCCCCGACTTGGGCCTCCTCTCTCTCTCAAACTAAATAAACTTAAAATAATTGTACTGGGACGCCTGGGTGGCTGCCTCGGTTAAGCGTCCGCCTTCGGCTCAGGTCATGATCTCACAGTTCGTGGGTTCGAGCCCCGCGTCGGGCTCTGTGCTGACAGCTTGGAACCTGGAGCCTGTTTCAGATTCTGTGTCTCCCTCTCTCTCTGACACTCCCCTGCTCGTGCTCTGTCTCTCTCAGTCTCTCTCTGTCTCTCTCTCTCTCATAGAAATAAGTAACACATTAAAAAAAAAAAAAGAGTCCGGCTTCAGCTCAGGTCATGATCTCACCTGAGTTCAAGCCCCACATTGGGTTCTGTGCTGACAGCAGCCTGGAGCTGCTTTGGATTCTGTGTCTCCCTCTCTCTCTGCCCCTCCCCTACTTGCACTCTGTCTCTCTCTCAAAAATAAATAAACATTAAAAACAATTTTTTTTATTTGTACTAAACAGGTGGGAGTTAACCACCAGCCAGTTCCTTACTGCCAGGACAAGGCAAACACACTGGAAAGATCTGTGTGGGGCCACCATGCAGTTAATCTCGAGAAAGAAAATTGCTGAATTTCATCATCTCACTTAGTTACCCCCCCCCACACACACACACACACACATACACACAAGCCCTTGTCCCTGGAAAGGAAGAGCCTGATATCATAAAATCCCCAGGTGCCTGCCAACATCTTGCTATGGGCAGCCGCATGAAGCCCAAACCCAAGAAGAAAGCTGAGTTGTTCATCAGGGTGAGCGAGAATTTGTCGCAGCAAAATCCACCCAAGGGGCTCGCTGCAAACGTCTGTGGGTAAATATAAACAAAGGCTGCACTCAGACCTGCCCACCCTACACCCCTAAGTCTGGAGGGCTTCCCGAGACTTCCGAGAGCCTCTCCTTCCCATGGGTGTGGGGACTTCCCAGCCCTGGACCCCTGACCTCCCAGATTCCAGGTGGCTCTCGGCTTTCACAGCACCCAGACAGCAGCGCGCCCTGAAAGGGGCTCCTGCTCCCTTAGAAATCATCTTGAATTCCACAACCCCCAGAACAGCCCGCTTCCTTAATGTTTAACTTTGTGGCAGCTGGGAGACAAAGAGTGTGCGTTTGGTCGTTGGGACACTTTCCCTGGGAGAGCGACCCGCTCGCAGTCCCCGGAGGCAGGTGCCCGTGGACCGCAGGATGGACGCCCACCCCTGGCGGGAGCTGGCTCACCTGGGGCCGGAAGGTCTCCTGTGGGCGTCAGAGAAGGTGCTCGGATCCCAGAGGCATGTGAGCCTCCGTCCGCCCTGCATGCAAACGCAGGAACAAACCTGTGTGGAAGCCGGAGAATGTCGACCCGGGTCACCAGTGAGCAAGAAATGCCTCTTGAAATGGCTGTCACGTCACAGGCCAGACTGTAAACACAGAGGTGGCTCTGCCTGCCACCGGCCCCTGGCTCCCGGAAGGTGTGCCTGCCCCAGAGGGACATTCCTGCTAATCATTAGCCAGCCCCACACAGCAACCAGGCAGTCCGGGGACCCGAGAAGGTCAGGCCCTCCCTCCCTCTCTCTCTCTCTCTCTCTCTCTCTCTCTCTCTCTGTCCCGCAGAGCCAAGCCCTTGGGGACCCCGCTGGCCGGTGGTGTTCTTACCCAGGCTGGGGGCCCTTCCTGCCCGTGGAGGCCGGCCTGGACAACCTTGTTGATCTCTGGTGTCAGCTCAGGCCTGGGGCTGTTCCTTGTCCGGCCCAGGAACCTCCACACCCACAAGAAGACTCTTGGGTGAAAGAAAAGTAGACCTGAGGGTGAAGCCCTCTGGAATGTGGCTGCGCTTCCCAGTGGAGCATTGGTAGGAGAACTTCTCAGCCCTCCCAACCCACACCCTGAACAAAGGAACATGGTTTCTCAGTGCCCGTGGCACATTCTGGAAGAGACCACCACCCAAGGATCTGGATCCCAGCAGCAGGAGCTGTTCGCTCTCAGGCCGTTCTCTCTTGGCATCTGCCCCTCTGCATTTTAATCTTGTCAGGGGCCTCAGGGTCAAGGGCATCTGAACACAATAGACACCAAGAGAGGGCTTGATCACATACTTGGCGTGAGACCCTGACACAAATAGATAGGGGGAAATGTTTCCCCCTAGAGGAACAGGATCAGAATAGCCACCCCAAAAGATGCACCCCAGTTTGGCATACTGAAAATATTTGAGATTTAATACATTTTTTAAAAAGCAAAACAAAAAGCCTTCTTAGAACTTCCCTTTTCTGACTAAAAGCATTAACTACTAGGGAATCCGGCTGCCATAAATTCCTTTATAGGGTGGATCTACCCCCAGAAGAGAGAACACAAATAAAGGAGTTTCCGACTCTAAGGATAAGATCAAAAGACCATTCACCTGTGCCTGTAGAGGTAAACATTATCACAAACTTTCTCTTCTCCCATCTCTTCTACTGAAAATCTATTTGTCCTTCCAAGAAAACCTATTTGTTTTTCCCAGAGGAAGCCTTCTCCCCTTTCACTCTCCCCTTCTAAATTAGGTTATATATAAGTCATTCATTCCAACCCCTTAGTGAGCCAGATACTTCTTTGCTGGTTCCTGGATGGACCCAGCCTACACCTTTATCCTGCTAACCTGGCTTCACAGGTCCCAGGCGCTGCACCTAAGAGGGTCAAGAAAAAGATTTGCTTTCCTCCTCTACGAGGCTCTAGGAGCTGGTCAGAAAAAAACGGTGAGCAAAACAGACTCCAGGAGTCAGCACGCGAGTCAAATAATCTCCCAAATACACACGGGTTGTGGCATCTTATTTATGAACTATGTCCCTGAAGGCCAAGCATAATCCAAAACTGGAATAACCAAAACAATGAGCCCCTAAAAGGAACACCCAAGGTCAGTGTAGCTGATTTTTATCCCTGATACACTTCTAATTTTCTTGGCATCAGCACGAATGATTTCGAATATCAGTCACCACCAGGAATCCCAAGCACTGGTCTTCAAAGCACAGCTCAGCCTCTGCACAACTACTGGAGACTGTTGTGAGAGTTTCTGGAAAGTTTCAGTTATGCTAACAATGAGAGTGTAGGAGAGAGGGGATATTTGTTCCTATACCCTCCTTGGTTTTGTGGCTAGCGCCTAAAAATTAAACTGAGTCTTTTTTTTTTTTTTGCTACTTTTTATTCTTTATTTTAGACATAATAGTATCACATTCTCAACTCAAACTTACATTTTGTGTTTGTTTACCTTAACAAATACAATTCTTATTTGGGTTAAGGTCCTAAATAAACATTTCAAGGTCTAAAGTCTTCTTATATTTTATTTAAACCCTTACAGTTATTCTTTTTTTTTTCTTAAATAGTTTATTGTCAAGTTGGTTTCCATGTAACACCCAGTGCTCATCCCCACAAGTGCCCTCCTCCATGCCCATCACCCCCCTCCCCCCCCATCAGCCCTCAGTTTGTTCTCAGCATTCAAGAGTCTCTCATGATTTACCTCCCTCCCTCTCCCCGACTATTTCCCCCTTCTTCTCCCCCACGGTCCTCCGTTAAGTTCCTCCTAATCCTCCTATACGTGCAAACATATGGCATCTGTCCTTCTCTGCCTGACTTATTTCGCTCAGCATAACACCCTCAAGGTCCATCCATGTTGCTACACGTGGCCAGATGTCATTCTTTCTCATTGCCCTGTAGTATTCCATCGTATAGATAAACCACATCTTCTTGATCCATTCGTCCATTGATGGACACTTAGGCTCTTTCCTTGTTTTGGCTATTGTTGAAAGTGCTGCTATGAACATTGGGGTACATGTGCCCCTATGCATCAGTACTCCTGTATCCCTTGGGTGAATTCCTAGCAAAGGAGTCTTAACAGGACTTACCGCACAATAAATTTGAAGAGAAGTGACAGAGTGAAGGAAAAGAAATCCAGGCTTTTAAGTGTGGCAAACCGTGGGAAGGTGAAGACTTGGGGAGACTAAAAGGAAGGTAAGGGTTGTAGAGGTCAGGTTTGCTGTATAGATTCGGAGAAGAGCCTCCAGTGGTTAAGATCATTGTTTGCCCTTCCTGATACTGGAGAGGGGAAGGCAAAGTGTGGTGTCCGCTGTTTCTCATTTATCTTCACCTTACAGTGATCCTCATGACAACCTGGCCCATTCGGGGGTGCTGTATTCTGATCCCCTCCAAGTGCTGTATGACATGCATACCTAACAACTGTAAGGTGTCGGAGGTGCCTCCGCAAATGCAGGGGCCGGCTCCGCAGACCCTGGACCGGGACACGTCTGTCTAACAGCTACCCAGCCTGGAAACCCTGTTTACAAGTCACTGGAAATGCAACCCTGAACTGCGCTCTCAAGAGACCTCTTGGACTTCGGGAGGTTTGCATTATTTCAAAGTTTAAGCATAAAGACAGATGTACTAATATTTTTAGCCTATGATATTTTTAATTTTTTTTAATGTTTATTTTTTTGGGGGAGAGACAGAGAGACAGAGTACAAGCAGGGAAGGGGCAGAGAGAAAGAGAGGGAGACACAGAATCCGAAGCACCTCCAGGCTCTGAGCTGTCAGCACAGAACCCGACGCGGGGCTTGAACCCACAAAGCTCGGGATCATGACCTGGGCCGAAGTCAGATGCCCAACCGTCTGAGCCACCCAGGCGCCCCCAGCCTATGCTATTTTGAAATCACAAAGTTCATATCTACCTAAAACATTCTCACACTAAAATTCGAATTGCGGTAAAGACATCCAAAAAAGCTTTGATGAAAGTGCAGGGGTTGGTCGGGGGGGGAGGGGGGGGTAGTGTTCCCTGAGGAAATGAGTTTGAGCTCAGATGGGAGTGGGCACATCAGGACCACACTGGGTAGGAAGGCAGAGGTTGGGGAGGGCCATCTGCTGGGCCAAAAGGAAGGGTGTGCCTTGAGTCTGGGTGGGTGGTGGGAGGCCCCGAAAGCCTGAGGAAGTTGGAGAGCCTGACCAGGCTTGAATACAAAGGGGTGGGAGATGGGGCCAGTCTGGGGGGGGGGGTTGTCTTCCATCAACCCAGATAAGAAACAAGGTCCAGACTAAAGGGTACAGTCAAGATTGGGTTCTTTTCCTTACATATAAAAAGAAATATCAGAGGGCACCTGAGTGGCTCAGTTGGTTAAGCATCAGATTCTTGCTTTCAGCTCAGGTCATGATCTCACGGTTTGTGGGATTGAGCCCTGTGCATGGAGCCTGCTTAGGATTCTCTGTCTCTCTCTCCCTCTGCCCCTCCCACGCTCACATGGGCTCGCACAAACTCTCTCTCTAAAATAAATAAATAAACTTTAAAAAATATTAAAGGAATGTCAGGAAAAGTGGTGAAAACCTTTTAAATAGCGGAGAAGTTTATGCGGGGTCACGAGCCCATCATGAAGGCACACGAGGTGTGTCTTTCCCAACCCTGGCTTCATTTAGTCATAAAGCAAGTTTAACATAGTTATGAAGCAGGTTTCTGGATTCCAAACTCAGTGACATTGCACTACACATTTAAAAAAATTTATGTTTATTTATTATTTTTGAGAGAGAAGTCACAGCATGAGTAGGGTAGGGTCAGAGAGAGGGAGACACAGAATCCAAAGCAGGCTCCAGGCTCTGAGCTGTCAGCACAGAGCCTGACACACGGGCTTAAACTCATGAACCGTGAGATCATGACCTGAGCCAAAGTCGGACGCTTAACCGACTGAGCCACCCAGGCGCCCCCATGAGTTCCTTTTAGACTTGTAGGAGAGCCACAATCTTAAATCCCATAAAAAGGAGCTCTTTGACCAGTTTAAACAGACAAGTGTCATGATCTGTGTAGAACTTTTTTAAAACATTAAAAGCAGTAGGTTGGACCACATAAAAGTGCCCATATTTACCTGTACTTTTTTCTTTCCTACAGAAACAGCTATTTCATATTGGGCTCAACCTAATATAAAGAAGAAAATAAAAACCATCTGTAATCTCAATGTCACCCATGGATAAGCATTATAAATTTTTAATGAGTGACTTCTATTATTTTCCCTCACTTAAAAAGTGATACACATTCACTATGAAAAAAGAAATAGACAAAGCAGGTAATCCAAAAGGAGAAAAATTTTAAATAGATCGCTTTTTAGCACACCACGCAGACTAGCTTTGTTAACAGCATGGTGTGTATCTGCTCAAAAATGTTCATATGGCAACCTACTGCTTAGTAGTCAGATTTTATTTACTTACTATATTGAAAACCTCTGCCCCCAGCCAGTAAATACATTACTTTTAATGGCTAGGCATGATTCCATCAACGGATGGTAGCATCACTTAACTAAGTCGATTCCCACCATCCATCTGGCTTCACACTGCGTGTGGTGGTCAACACCATGTCAGCTGA